GAATTTATGGCTGTTCAAAGTTGGCCAAAAATTCACATTTTCCATACTTAGCCAAAATTTCCAAAACTTTAAAATTCTTTCCAAAAAATGAAAATTTCCAATTCTAAGCCTCTTCAATTGTTTCGTATTGCCGGATGTTACATAATATTTCTCAGGAGCAAATCATCTGTTTTGATTTTAAAAAAAATTGGTGGCCCTTTATCCATTTTGAAGGAAAAAAGTGGTCATTTTAGCTTCGGACTCTACATTCTAGCTCTGTCCATGGAGTACAGATATGCATGAGAAAAGTTACTAAAATGCCAAAATTATAATATTCTTAATACATAATTTTATAAGTGACCGTAAAAGTTTCAGTAAAAATCTTAAAAATTGAATTCATCAAATTCAAATCATGATTTGCCTCAACGTGAAAGATAAGCAGATAACTAATGTCGTCGTTGACATTAATCGGCATTCATTTGGTTATACCTTCATCGAGCCAATTGATTAAGGAGCTCTAAAATTATAAAAATGACAATGAACAAGAGAGCACAAGGTTAGAATTATGGTTTTGAACTTTACTGTTTTAGTTTTTGAATAAATTCTAGTTAATTATTAGTTGGTTGGCTAGTTTTTACTTATTAGTAATTAGTACGTAGTTTGTTAAGATAAATTTTACAGAGATATTCTAATTTCTAGGCTAGTTTATTATTATATTTTACTGCTTTTACTCGAGTTAATATTTAAAAATGTCATTAAACTAGGAGAAAGTATTTAGTAAAGTCATTAAATTTTATTTTGTATCAATAAAATCACTCAATTTAAAGCTTCTATCTTCAAAAATCACTCAGTTTAAGGTTTTATCTTCAATTCTCACTCAACAACATTTATTATTAAAATAAATTTAACATAACAAAATAGAATATTATTTATATCATATAATCATAAACCAAACAAATAAATAATAGTAGTATACTATAGACTTTATATATTACTATACCTAACCCACCACTAATTAAGTTTGTCTAAAGAGCTAATTCCAAGAAGAAAGCAAGTCATTCTTTACTCAGATTAGTACTTTCTACTAAATTACTAATTAAGTTTGTCTAAATTCTGGGTAGAAAGCAAGTCGTTGTTTACTCAAATTAATACTTTCTGCTAAATTATTTCTACAAAATATTAATATAATAATCATTACCAAATAATGATGTTAAAGCATGCTGTCAAGTTGAAAATGCAGCGTTGTATCGATCTTTTTGGTAATTTCCGAATAACATTCTGCAATTTTATGCTTAATTAAAAATTAGTATTTTGAGAATCTAATTTGTGGGTGGGACGGATACAATAATAAATATATTCTATTATTTTATTTATTTATAGAGTTCATAATTACATGAAATAAAAAATATATATGTTACTCCCTCCGTCCCATTTTATATGATGTACTTTGATTTGGCACAAACTTTAAGAAAAATGGAAAGACTTTTAAAACTTGTGGTCCAAAATGAATGATAGAAATTTGTGTGGTTGTAAATCATTTCATTAAGGGTAAAAAAGACATTTCATAGGCAAATTGTTACTTAAAATAGAAATGTGTCATTCTTTTTGGGACAGACTAAAAAGGAAAGTGAGTCATATAAATTGGGACAGAGGGAGTATTTGTTATCTAAAATTTATTTTAATGATGAATGTAGTTGCGTGAATTTTAACTCCTTTTATTTTTATAAATGTAGAGTTCAAGAAATCA